GCCGCTAAGGGGGAGGAAAGCTCTGGAGAGGTGTCGGGTGAGCTGGAAGGACAAGCGAGGGGCAGAGGCAAGGCTGTGGTGAGGAGGGAGGGCATGGTGTGCGGGTCTCTACCCCTCCCCAACCCACACGGCTCAGCCTCAGGGTCCCCAGGCCAGAGCAGGTGACCGAGGATAGCACCCGCAGCACCAGCACTGCTTGGGGATGGTCTCCCCTCCCGGCCCAGTGGTGGGCGCCCACAGAGCTCAGGGCGGCCCCGGGGGAGTTTCTGTGCCCAGCAGAGCAGCCTGCCCAGTGACACACACACACGTGCACACACGCACACACCCTCTATTGCAAATCACACAAGCACAACCAAAAAGTCAACCACCTGAGATTCCTCATCTACAGATAATCGCTGTCACTACTTCGGCAAACATCCTGCCAGATGTGTCCCTATTTCCAGCCTCAAAAAGTGATGCAAACTTTTCCTGAGCTCAGGCCCAGCTGCTTCCATGCTCCTGACCACGTGGGCTGACCACCCCTCACAGCCCTTCCATGGGAGGGAGCCAGGCCCTTCCGACGGGGACGCACCCCAGGGCTGGAGCACACATATCTGTTTTCTTATAGATGTTAACAATACACACATTGTACATAATAGTCTGAAATGTCTGTTAGTACAGAAGTGCTTATACTTAACTGCACAAATAAATAATTATGCCCAAGTTTTGGCCGGTGGGGATGCCTGAGCCCACACGTTAGCTGGCGCTGCTTCATGTTTCCGGTCCTGCATGGGCAGCAGACCCCGGGGCGGTGCTCCTGGGGGCTGGCCAGGGCCTGTGGGCCCTCTCGTGCCTGAGCTCAGGAGGTGCTGTTGCAGCTCCCTGACTCCCCTCTCTGCTTACACCCAGATTTCATACCCGCCAGGGCCTTCCATGTCCAGGAAGGAGGCTGCAGCTCTGTCAGCAATCAGTTGATGGGAGCAGCACTCTGGGAGAGGGAGCCCCGCAGTGTGTCTCATGGCCCATCTAATGTATTAATATTTTACATACTGGACAAACGATGGCAATATAAGTATTAAAATACAAGGGGAACTAGAAGAAAACCAAGTTCCAGAGCCTCTTTCCAACAACATTATCAGTCTGCATGGCATCAAGTAGAGGGTCAGAAGGTTTGGACATGGTGACCTACAAGATCAACGAAGTTGAGCTTCCCAGGGCTATAAGCCCACATGGGGTCTCCCCTCACACCAAGCATCCAGCCTGCGGTCCAGCTGTCCCACCCTCCGGCCCGCCCCAAGGCACCTTACATCCTGGCCAGCCCCCCTCAGCCTTGCGGGCCTTAGTCCCAGGGGACTGTCCCAGAGCTGCCTGCCCCCCACCTCCACCCCTGTGACAGGTCAGTCTGTTCTATGGAATCTGTGGTTCCTCCTAGTGGAGGAGCAATGCATGTCCCTCTGGGGGTGCATCCTCCACCGGCCGGTGCCCGCGCTCCTGCAGGGAGGAGAGAGCTGGCAGACTCGGGGGCGGACTTGCCCCTGTGCGGCGCCGTTGATGCCCAGCTCCCAAACAGCACACACAGCACACACGCCAGCTCTGGGGGCCAGAACCCAAACTCCGGCACCTGCGGCAGAGGAGGGAGCCTGGGCCGAAACAGAAGGCCGCAGCGGCCTGGGGAAGGGTCGGGGCATCGGCCCAGGACTGATGGAAACGCGGCAGCCGAGAGAGCTGAAGGGACGCCGGGGAGAGGCTGTTTTGGTGGCTTTAACGGTCCAGTTAAGGACGGCACCTCCAGATCTCCTCCGTGGAGACCCAGGAAGGGCAGAGCAGGCCGGGAAGAGACACATGGACACATTCCTTGTCTCTCTGGCTAAGGAGCCTGAAGTTATTGTTTGTGATTTCGGTTGTGATAATGCCATACATGTGGGTTTAATAATTTTCATGAAAAAATCAAATGAAACCCCTAAGAGAATTCAGACAGGAGGGCTACTTTCCGAATCACTGCCGAGGATAAAAGCGAGCACGACAGTCTGGAGGGGAAAAAATGGAATAGAAAGGAACGAAAATATTAAAGAACTTAAAAAACACTAAGTCAAAATGCAGATGCCGTCGGCCCAAGCAGAAGCAAAAATGACAATCAATGTGAACCACCCAGATTTCCCCATTTAGGGTCGAAATGTCTCAAATTACCTGTACTTTAATGGAGTACATGACAGGCGCACCGAAATACAAGAACACACAAGAAGGGAAAGAACCAACACCTGGGCTCAGAAATCAAGCACAGCTAAACGCAGGGGGCCGAGAAAGTCACGCAGATCACAGGGACGTGGCCGGGAGGCGGACAGCAAAAACACGGGGCTTTTAAGGGTCTCGTGGCTGAGCTGGAATCGAAGTTTCCTTTATTTCCGGGCACAAGAAAGGACTGCACTTCCTCAACCCCTCGAGAGAGGGTGCGACTGTGGAACTGGCTGGGGCCAATTCAATGTGAGGCAAAGTCTCAGGGCTGCTTCTGGGCAGTGGCTCTTGGTGGCTGGGTCTCCCTGCAGGAAGCCTGTTTGCTGCCCCCTCACTGTATGTGAGGTGCTGCCCTGGGCAGCTGCCCAGACCCTCAAGATGTTTCAAGAGCAAGAAATAAATCTGTAACTTAAGCCGCTGGGACTTGGGGCTGTGTGTTACCACGGCACCCCCTCACACGTGCAATCTAGCGCACACGCCAGCCAGGCCCGGAGGAGGCCAGTGACCAAAGACAAGCAAAGCTAAGAATGAGGGGACACTTTTAGAAGCAGAGTTGCTGGTCCCCACGTACCCCAAGTCCCACCCAGTCAATCCTCTGTCTCCTGCTGTCAAGATAAACCACTGTCTCTAGGGAGGGACCATCAGCCCCCACCCCTCTGCAGGCTCCCCGCAATGGAGGGGGGGGTGCCCCATGTCTTGGGCAATGGGGAAAGGCAGGCTCCTGGAATCTATGCCTGAATGAGGACCCAGGTATTCTGCCTCCCCAACAGGCCCACCCTATCACCTCCCTGCAGTTGTAGGGACTCAGCAGCCTGGCAGAGGCTGAGAGGATGCGCCTCCCCTCTACGGTGTTCGGGAGCCCAGGTGGGGTTCCAGGGCCAGTCCTGCCTGGCTGGGCCTCCTTGTGTCACTAGGGGCAGCATCGGAGAGGCTCATCCATGCATACACCCCGGTAATGGAGCATTTCAGGGATGGGGATGGTTTTCTCTGGGACACCCCAAGGCCCAGCACCTGAAACTCTCTGCCTCTGCCCAACCCAGTGAGCCCTTCCCAGGGACCCCCGGACTGCGGGGTTGCCAACTCTCCCAGAGCACAGGGACTCCAGCGAGCCCCACCCAGGGCCACTTCTCAGCCTGCTCCTGTGCTGTGGCCAGAGGAAGTGGTCCCAGGACTTGAGGTTTGGATGGCAAAGGACAGTGGACTGCCTAGCAGCACCCCACTCCTGTGCAACTGAGGGTCCCGTGGGTGTGTTGATCAGAGCTCACTCAGGGTGAGCTCCTCGGGGGGATGGCTGGCAGCTGGGGCCCCAGGCTCCTAGAGGCCCTCCGTCACTGGCACCCAGACACTGTCCACAAGGAAAACCTTTAACTTCCAGGTGTGGCTCCCTGAACCCCAGATTCTTGCTCCTCCTATCGCTGGGCCTTAGGAAGCTGTGTCTGTTCGGCCACCAGCCAAGCCCACAGGGCACCCTCCTGTCTCCTTCCACCCCCTCTGCTCCTGCAGGGCCCCTCAGCAGCCCCTGACCCGGGGGTGCAGACAGCACAGTCAGCTGGAACCCCTCACCTTCAGTGACACCAGCTGTGGGGCCTGAGCCCCAGAAGTGCGGGGTGGGGGGGTCGGGGAAATGGCCACACTCCAGACTAGTGAGCTGGGCCCGAGGAAGGGCCGGCAGCGCCATCAAGGCCCTCACCTCCCCCAGCTGGAACATATCTCAAAAGCGGTTTCCTTGCCTGGCGAGGCCGCTGTGCTGGCAGCCCATCCAGCTGAGAGTCTTGTTGAGGGAACAGAGGCCATGGGCCCAGATGCCAGCAGAAGGGCCAGGTGCCAGTGGCAGCGGCTCCCCAGTTCCCCTGAGTGGGTCTGTGCCTCCTGACGTGACCAGCCCCAGAGGCTCATTCTGTCCCTGCTGTCCCCTGATGATGCAGAGAACAGATGACAGCAAAGATGACACAGGTGACACCAAGCCAAGGACGTAGCAAGATTATGTGGGTTTAAACCCTTCCTGCTGGTTTCAGGAAGAGATTCTGAATGTCCATGATTTCACATTCAAGGTTGCGTGGGCACAGAGCCAGGGCTGCCAGCGGCTTCACGTGGAAGGAAAAACCATGCCCCTCGGAAAGCACAGGGGCAAACAGAAGCCAGCGTCGCCCTGTCTTTCTCTCGGAGGCTTTCAAGGGTCAGTTTGACGGTGACACTGGCCAGGAGGCACAGACGCTTTCCCCCCACCCCACAAGCCTGAGCATGGAGTTGCTACTAGTCCTGAGGTGACCTGACCCATCCGATCCTGCAAGGTGCACAGAAGCCTCCTGGGGTCCTTCTCCAAACACAAGGGAGGTTTCCAGCCGTCTCCTCCTCCTCGCATCAGAAAAGGTGGAGAGGAATTGAAGGACCCTCAGTCAGCTAAATGCAATTTTAACTGAATTCAGAACATCTGACCGCCCTGCTGTCCACTCGGGACGAGCCTCCTGCGGAGTGAGCCTTCCAAGTTGCCGGGGGCAGGACCCACCTCTCCTCAGAGACAGATTCAGTAGGTGGGGAGAGGGCTGGGGTGGGGTGGGGTGGGGGGCAGAAACCTGTACTTTTAGCACACTGTCTGGGAGATTCTGATAGAATAAATCCAGAATTGGGGCCTGGCTGTAAAATCTGCTTAGAGGCCAAAGCCTTGTCTTGACAGCCACCCTCTTCCTCAGACTAATTCCTAAAAACAAATGCAGAGTCAAGAAAGACAGTTTTCAGGATATTCACGGAATGATTTTTTTTTTTACATTTTCAACTAGTTAAGACAAAAACATTACAATGGTTGACTTCTTTCATTTAGTTACATAAATAAAATTTTTATAAATATCTCTTTATAAACAATATAAATAGCTTTACAACATAAATACATTTATGCATGACATGAATTTACAAACAGCAACGTCTTACAGCTGGTTTTGTCAGTCTCTTAAAAACTGTCCCTTGTCATCACGTCGTGTAGGTGCGGGCTTCATGTATATAATATATATATAATATATAACTTTTTATTTTTCATTTTCAAAAAAAAAAACAACAAACAATAACATCATACCCCCCCTCCCCAAATAATAATAAACAGCTGGTGTTGTGTATTCCCAGTACCAGGAAAAAAAAAAAGAAATGTCAAAGCCACATAGCGCTGGAGGCGCTTCCAGATGCCGGAGGCTGATGACCAAGGATGACCTCAGCGAAGCGCAGCAAGTTCCAATCCTGAAACGAGAGGAAACACGGGCCGCTCAGTCCTGGCCCCTTCGCTGAGGCCCTGCATCTGAGCGGCCGCTCGAGAACCTCCAGCGGGGGCAGGACCCCTCCGCCCCTGCCCTAGAGCCCGCAGCCTCCTGCAGCAGGAACGTCCCGCCCAGCCTTCAGCGCGCTCCTGCGGGCCTCGGCGTCTGGCGAGGGCAGTGAGGGTAAGAGGACGGGTTTTCTCCACACGAGCCCTCGGGCGGCCGCCTGGGCTTTGCCGTCTGGCGAGGCTGGAGGGAGGGCGAGAGAAATACCTGAGGAGTCGGGAATTGTGGGTCCAGCGCCCGGGACATTGGCTTCCTGGAAGGCCCTTGGGTGGCCGTGAGTACCTCTTTCCTCACCCATAAAATGGGATAATAGCCACCTCCCAGGGGGCCACGGGCTGGGCATCGGTGGTGGCTGGGTCACCGCGGCCACTCGGTCAGTGGCACTTCCTGCTCTGGCTGCCTCCGTCTGGGGAAAGGTCCCCTTCTGCAGCAGAGGAAATGGGGGTTCACCCCAGCTCCGGGGAAATGAATGGCTGGGCTGGGTGGCCGGGTTGAGTTATTGGAGCCATGAGGGAGGTGGGTACCCCGTCCCTGCTGAGGGGGGTGCGGGCGCTCTGGGGTGTGAGGAAACCTTCCTGCCAGCAGACAGCACATGCAGAGCCCCAGGGAGAACGCCCCCGGCTCCCTTCCCTGGCCATACCCTGGTCTTTGGGCAAGGCGTTCACTCAGGCCTCAGCCTCTTGCCTCTGTCATTAGCATTTTATAATCAAGACCCGTCGCCCTCAGCGGCGGTCATTACGGCGGCTGCTTAGAACCAGGTCATCGCCGCGCAAGAAGGGCCCGGGCCGCGGGCGGGTTTCCACCACTGTGAACGGGCTGAGCTGTCTTTCTCCTTTCATCCTAGACCACGACATGCCCTCCGAGGTGGCACCAGGGAGGAGGTGTTGCTGTCTCACTGGGCATGGGTTAAGAGGGCTAAGGGGGCTGGTGGTGGGTGTTGAGCTAAAAGACAGAACTTCCAGGAGGTTGATGCGCTTCCCTGGTCAAGGACCCGAGGAGCTCAGGGATTCCTCCTTCCCGCCACCATCACGGCCCCCTGGACCATCACCCTCACCTGCTCCCAGAGCCAGCCACACCTGAGGACCAGGAGCCCATGGGGACCCGCATGCCAGGCTCTGCCCTGTCGAAAGCCGGCTGCTTTAACTCCTAAAGTTTGGGCTTGGTGTGCCAGCCTCAGACTCAGACTCTGAGGCCAGTGGCTCATCTCTGCACTGTTTAGACAGGAGAGAAGACGGCGGAGCCGCGACAGTGGCCGCCACCAGGCCCCTGAATCACTTTTCTCCCTGCGCAGGGGTGAGGCAAGACCTGGGAGTCGCCGCAGAAATGGGGAGCGCACACAGCCAGCCCAGCTGCAGACTGCGCAAGGGCGGGCAGGACAGCCGCACCCCTGAGCCGGGCGGGCAGGTTTCTCTGGTTATTGACAAACATTTTTACGAGCCCCTTTGGGGCTGCTGCCGGTCCCAGGTCACCTTAGCCTGGGTGTCCGGCTCTCTCGTTGCTCATGAGTTATTTGGGCAGGTGAACAGGTTCACAAGCAACTGTAGTTCAGGGGCAGAAGCGTTCTGTGCTGTAAATGGGCTTAGGCACCTCGCTAGAGACTGTCAAAGGAGGGGTGCCCTCTGGGGACACCTGAGTCCCCGTGGTGGACACCGATCAAACATTTTGGGTGAGAGAGCCGCTTCCCGGGGCCTGGAGCGGGTCGGGCAGGCTGCGGACTGGGAATGGCAGCCGGCAGAGCTGGAAACCAGTAGGGGTCAGGTGCTAAAGCGTTTGAATGTCGTTGTCACAGGTTGGGATGGTGTTTTCTCCTTGGTGCCACTGAGGCAGCAGGAATGGAGAGGAGGGAAGGAGAGGAGGCGAGGACTTTGCAGCAGGACATTGTCAGGACGTGGTACCTGGCAGGGCAGGAGGCGCACAGGGGTTCTAGCCCTGACACAGGGCGAGGCAGCCACGCCAGAAAGGGAGCCCGGGCATGATGCAGGCGGAGGGCAGGAGGCATGCAGTTTGGGGCAGGCTGAGTTCCAGGTTGGAGTAAAAATGAAGATTCACGGGAGTGTCTTTCCCTTGGTTACCACGGAGGCCCAGCCCCGAAGTCCACGGCCGCCGCAGCATCAGGACCCTGGACAGGCCAGTTGACCGGAGCAGGCTTTAGAGAAGGGGCATGAGAACGCCTGGGGCAAAGAGCTCCCTGTGATGTCAAGAGCTCTAGTCTCTGCCCTTCGGGGGCAGGTACTTCTCCAGGCCTGTCCTGCCTCAGGGGGAAAGACCCCCAGCGGGGGCCCTGACCTCGGCCTGCTGGGCTCCAGGATGCAGTGGCTGGCGGATCAACTTACCCTCGCCGAGCGCTTGTGCGGTCCTCTCTGCTCCCGCAAACCCCCCAACCCCCCAACCGCCCCCAACCCCCTCAATGGCCGAATCGGGGCTAGAGCTGCTGGGTGCCGGTGGCTTGGGGGAAGGCGGGCCTCCACCAAGCCTGTCTGGGTTCTCCAGGGCCGCGATCTGGGCGGGGCCATTTCTGACCTCGCCAAAGTTCTTCTGACCGCTTAATCCTTCCTCCCCACTTCCTCCCTCTGTAAAATGGGATGATAAATGGGGGTTCGGGGCAAGCCCCCGGGGCGCACACTCTTGTGGCCGGGTTGCCAGTCCTCTCCCCCGGGGGAGGCAGGGAGGTGAGACGGTCCAGCGCCAGAGGACGGGGGGATCCTCTCGCCCGCCCGCGGGGGTTCGGGACGGGCTCGGGCGGGGGGCGCGGGGCGCGGGGCGCGGGGCACTCACCGCCGCCAGGGGTCGCCGCACTAGCATCCCAGGCCGCTCATGGAGCCGATCCGGTCCAGCTTGAGGCCGAAGCAGCCCTTGGACAAACCCTTCTTGTTGCCGCCTTTGTACTTGCGCGCGCTGGGGTGCTCGTGCAGGAGGCGGGCCCAGGCCGCGCGCGACTTGGTGTCCACGCGCAGGTCCCGGAGCAGCCGCGACCGGTCGCCCTTGAGGTTGGCGCCGCCGCCCCGGGCGCCTTGTCGCCCCTCTTCGGCCCGCCGCCCGCAGCCTGGGGCTCCGCCAGCTCCTCCCCGGGCGGAGTTCGCGGGACCTGTCGGAGAAGAAGAGGCGGCAGGTGAGGCGCGCACGGCGGGGCGCGGGGCGCGGGGCGCGGGGCGCGGGGCGCGGGGCGCGGGCGGGGTCCCTGACGCTCCCGCTGGACGCGCCGCCAGCGCGGTCCGTCCCTTCCGAGACCCGAGCCGCGGCCGCAGCTGCCGGCGAGTCCGGCCGGGCATCCACCTGCCACGCGCCCCCGCCGTCCCCTCCTCCCGGGCGCCCGGCTCTGCCTGCCTTGCCCGCGCCAGGCTGGCCTCCCCGGGCCGGGGGCTGCGCCTCTGGACGGCCGCCGAGGCCGGGGACGTGGACCCCAGGTCCGGACTTCGAGGACTCCCGACTCTCACCCGCGCACATCTAGGGGAGACGGCAGCTTTCCCACCCTCTCTGCTCTCTCCAGCACCCCGCCTCCTCCTGGCCGCCCCCCACCCACCCCGGCCCTCCCGGAGCCTGTCAGTCCCGGCGGCCCCGCGACAGCACCCACCTTCGGTGGCGCCCCGGGCTTGGCTTCGGAGGCCCGGGGCGAGAGCAGCGTGAGCAGCAGGGCGCAGGCCAGCAGCTGGGAGAGGTGCATGGTGCCGGCGGGGCGAGGGCCGCGGGCCGGCTGCAGCGGGAGCGCGCGGAGCCGGGGCGGACCCGGAGGCGGGCGAGGAGCAGGCTGGCCGGGTGCGGGGCGGGCGCGGGTCCCGGTGCTGCGCGGCGCCGGCTGGGTGCGCTCTGAGCCCGCCGCTCCGCTCGCGCCTTTATAACCCAACCTGCCGCTGATGTCATGCCCCCGCCCACCCGCGCGTCCGAGCCAATGGCACGCGCGCCGGGCGCCTGAAAGGGGCCCTTCGGGGGCTCCGTCTCAGCTCCCATCCTCATCGCACCCCTGAGGGGTCCCGAGGCGCGGCCGGCTCTCTCCCGGGTGCACTCGGAGCTGCACAGCGGCGCGCACAAGGGAGTCCAGTTGCTGCTGCCGCGCGCCCTGGCACGGCAAACGCCTGCGCGCCTGGTGCGCACGCTAAGACCGCGCGGACTGCGCTCCCTGGAAGGGATCAGTTTCCCTCTTTGCAGGTGCAAAGACAGGCCTGGAGGAATTAAGCCCAAAGTTACACGGGCAGAAAGTTGGCACATCCTGAAGTCCCCGCAGATCCGCCTCGCGGCTAAACTCTTCCCTGGGTTCCTGACAGGCGCAGGCCTGGCGCTGCCCGGCGCCTTTGGAGTGGAAAGACGGACCCTGGGGCCGGAGGTCCCCGCGCGAAGCGCAGGGAGAGCAGGATTTGCCCGGGGCCGCAGGGGGGAGCGCAAGCCCTACACCGCAGACCGCCAGCTTTGCGCCTGCAGGCTTGAGCCTGAGAGGCCGAGGGGGTGGGTTCCTCGGGCAGACTGAGAAATCGGTGCCCAGGAGCTTGTGCGACAGCGTCCTGTGCCCGACCACTGTGGCTCTGAGTGCGCCCTCACCTCTAAGGTCGGTGTCCCTAACGCCAGCGTCCTCAGAGCTGCTCCAGGGGTGTCGCCCCAATCAGTGAGGGTGGACTCGGTCTGCAGCCATGCAGGATCCGTAGGGGGGAGAATGTCCGTGCTGGTGTCCTGTGTACTGGCCCAAGCCGGGGAGGGAGCTTTACCCAGCCCCACGCCCAATGGGGGCTCTGTGCCAGTGAGAGGTGGCTGGTGGCCATCGCATCTTCTGCCATAGAGAGGTCCCCATAGAGGCTGTCAGGACGCGGCTAGGTAACCCTGCTACTCATGAGTCCTCTGGGCAGGGCGCCTGGGGCTCTAGGGCTCTAAGGAATTCCCTCAGGATGGGCTGGTGAGGTGGAGAGCCTGGGACCCTGAGTGAGATGCAAGAATCTATGAGCTGCTGGTGCCCAGGAAGACTTTAGTGGCAGTCCCCAGACAGAAACCACTCTGCAGGAAGCAGGCACTTGATGAACTTTTTTCAGGGAGAGGAAGCTGCTCCCTGGCGAGGCAGGAGGGTGGCCAGAGTAGAGCACAGCCCTGGGGAATCAGGTGCCACCAGATAGCTCCCAGCAGAACCTGGGCCCTGAGCCTCCAGACAACAGCAGTGTGGTTTGCTCTCTGTTCTCTCCTTCCTGGCACCCTGGCATTCTGAGTTGGAAACTCCAGACCCATCTTGCCCTAAGTCCCTTTCTTTAAAAAACAACTTAAACATCTGCAACTGAGATGTTGGGGCAACAGACTCTCTTGATCTCTAAGAGGATCCAGACATCAGCAGGGCATCCTTTGCGAGTTGACTCACCACCTCCATGCAGTGCCCCCAGATTGCCTCACGGGGTACCACCCAGAGAGTGGCACCACTCTTTCGCTTGAGCAGAAAGGAAGAGGAGCAAAAGGAGACAGAGGGAGGAATCTCTCTCTGGGTGGGCTATGAAAGCCCCTCTCCTACCAGTCTGGAACTTCTCTGAGATTTGCTGTATTTATAGTGTTGTAGGGAACTTGGCTGATTGATTCTAGAGTCGGGCACTGGGCAGATTTGCAGGGCCAAGAGTTAGCTCCTCTGAAACTTTATTAAGGACAGGTTGGAATCGTCCAGTCCTCCATGGTCCTCTCCTCCTGTCAGAATGTCTGTAGGCTGGTTCTGCCTGCCTTCTGCACCCCGGCTGTGCTGGGGACCACTGGGTACCTAGCTAGGTCTCCCCACTAGAGGAGCTCTGAGACTAAGTGAAATAAACTGCCCCACTGTCCCCCCACCTCTGTGAGAGCCAGCCCCTGCGACTCTACTTCCTTCCCCTCTTTGGAAGAGGACTCTTTAGTGAACCCCACTTCTTTTTCCCTCCACCCCCAAGACTTGCTCCTGACTGCCAGGCTGTGGACATTTGGGGCAGGCAGACCTTGCAGGAGCCACTGGGGCAGGCCTTGGAGCAGCTCGGGTTTAGCTGGGACCTGGAGGTGGGTGGGCTGGAGGGAGCTTCAGGAGGGACATGGTTAGCACCCCTTGCCTTGGATATGGACTTCACCTCCCCCTCTGCTTCTTTGCTCAGGGAGCAGCAGAGGACGCGCCCTCTCCCTGCTGGGGACTCAACACTCTTCTCCTGCTTTCTCTGCACGGGCCTGCTGCCGCCGCTGCCCCGGCCCAGCCTGGGCAAGTTGGACTCACTGAGCAGCTGAACACAAGCTGTTCCTGGCACTTGGTGGAGAGCCTGTATGCAAACTCCTGGTGGCAAGGGGTGGAGGAAGGGGCACTGGGTCTGCAGGGAACCCTGTCACAGGGTGTACCCGAGCATCGGCACCCCGTAGCCTTCCCATTTGTCCAGGGGCTGCTTCCACTGCAGAGAGCAGTGACACAAAGGGGGGGCTGCTCCTGCAGCCTGGCCTAGCAGGGTGGGCTTCCTGGAGGAGGAGGGGTCCATGCTCCCTCGGAAAGGAGACTATAGGCAGGAGGAAAGGACAAGAAAGAGGTAAACCCAGCTGGAAACAGCCGGGGAGCAGGGAGGGGGGCGAGCAGGGGAGTGGAGGAAGTGGGTGTCATCAAAGGGGAGAGTCAGGGAAGCCCAGGGACTGGTAGTGTGGATGGGGTGTGGGCATTGTGGGGGGACATGGAGAGGGAGCAGGGAAAGGGACTGGTGGGAGCCCCAGGTCTTCCCTTCCTGGCTCTGAAAGGTGGGAACACGGAGAGGAAAGACCCCACTTGCGTGGGCCCCTCTTCCTGCCCCCCACGAAGGGCAGGGGTGAGCTCTCCTGGGGCATGTCGGGTGGTTAGCAGGGCTCTGCGGGGGGGGCGGCCCTGGGGTGAGGGAGGCGCGCAGGAGGGCGGCTGGGTCTGGGGGGCGGCGGGGGGGTTGGGGGTGGCGGGCGGGGTGGCGAAGGCGGGTTTTCGCCGTCCCCCGGAACAGCGCCCCCTCCTGGCCCCGGGTGACGAGGGCGGGTCTCGGGGCGCATCTGTTCTCCCCGCGATTATTTCATCCCAGGGCCCCGTCCAGCTCGTCGCTTCCCAGAGAGGACCCGGGGGCGGCGAGCAGGCCTCACGCGGCCCGGCGGGGAGACGGCGGTGGGACCCGGCCCGGCCCACCGCGCGGGGCCCGCGGCTTCCCCTCCTGTGCCGGGAGGCAGCTCCCCGCTCCGGGGCGGCGGGCGGGAGGCGGGAGGCGCGAGGAGCGGCTGCGGACCCGGGAGGCAGCAGCCGCGCGAGGAGGCTCCGAGGGTACCTCGGGCACACGCGCGCCCCGTGGCCTGGCCGGCGCCCCCCGAGCTCGGCGCCGCCTCCAGGGGTCCTGCCCCGGGGCCCGAGCTCGGGAGAGGCGCGGGCGGCCAGGACGCCTCATTCTCCCAGGGCCAGACGTTCCGGACGGCTCAGCCTCGTGCGCCGCGAGCTCTTCGCTGCGCCCGGCCCCGCCCCCACCCGACGGCAGCTGCCGCCTGCCCGGTTCCCAGGCCCCGCAGCACCTGCTCCAGATGGCGGCCCGCGCCCGTCTACGCAGGCCCGTGACGTCAGAGCTTATCCCTCCGTGTGGTTTTTTTCTCCCCTTTCCAAAATAAAAGAGAGGCTCCCTGCAGATGGGCCGGGTTCCAGCGGAGGGGGTACCTGCTCCCCACGGCTCTCAGCGGACAGGTGAGGGGGTAGCCTGAGCCTGAGGACAGGTGAGGGGGTAGCCTGAGCCTGAGCGCTGAGGGCGGGCGAGGCTGGTGAGGGAGAGGAGCCTTCCCGGCGAAGACAAGAAGGTGGACACCCCGACCCCTGCGGGGAGCTGGAGCTCGCACCAGATGTTTGCAGAGGGAGCGGAGCTGCTGCCAGGCCCGCCCCGGACCCGGCCTGCCTTGGCTGTGCTCTGGCACATGTTGGTCATAAGGAGCTTTTCCAAACAGGGAGCTGGGGTGTCCCTGCTGTGCACCCACCTTCTTGGGGTGCATGGGGGAGGGGCTATCTGTTTTCTAGTCACCGAGGCTGTGCTTCAGATGAGTCAGAGGTTTCTTCCTGCAGATCGAAGGGCCTCCAGGTGTCTCATAAATGTCCCTTCCTGCGGCACTTCCAGAGAAGGGGTCCTGCCTGGGCCTGCTAGGACCCTGGGCCGCTCAGTCAGTAAAGCCACATCTCTGGGCTTTCCAGGCCAGAACCTCCTCTGCAGATTTCTGCCCCCCAAGTGTGTGACACCGGTGCCTTTCTGGTGACCAGTCAATTTCTAAAATGAGAATGGCCAGAAAACACTAGCAGAAGAGAGGCGTGGCCGTGCCGGGCTCTCGCAAGGGCTGGGAGGAACATACTTGCAATTGAGGCTCCAGAGGGACTGGAATATACTTTTAAACCCAAAGCCACCCTCACACCCCAAAGCCCATACATGGTTCAAAAACCACTCGCGTGTCTCTGTGAGCTGTTTTGAATCTCCTGTGCAGCATCACACGACAAACCTTTGCTCCTGGATTGCCCCCGGGAGGTGCCCTGGGTCAGGGCAGACTGGGCAAGGGATCACCTTTGGTGATGGCCTGTTTTGCCTCGTGGGCAAAATAAGTGGAGAGAGGAGAGCCCATCTTCGAGCGTAGGAGGGTTCACACTTTCCCCTCCAGCGGTGGATTCAGGATCCTGGGCTCAAGGGGGCAGTAAAGGGGAGAGGCAGCGTCTCTGCTGTGACCCTCACA